CACATCCAGTCTCTCCCAGTCGACCTCAGCCTGCTCCCAGTCAGTCCCAGTATGATCCCAGTCACTCCTGGTCTCTCCCAGTATATGCCAGTTGCCCCCAGTGTGGTCCCACTCACTCCCAGTAGCTTCCAGCATGATTCCAGTTGGTCCCAGCCACTCCCAGTCACCCCCAGTGTGGTCCTAGTCACTCCCAGTATGATCCCAATCACCTCCAGCGTGATCCCACTTGCTCCCAGTATATCCCAGTTGTGCCAACATGGTCCCAGCTGCCCTCAGAATGCTCCCAGTCACTCCCAGTATGACCCCAGCCACCTTCACTGTGGGCCCAGTTGCTCACAAAGTGATCCCTGTTGTGCCCAGCATGGTCCCAGTTGCTCCCAGTTCCTCCCAGTGGGATCCTAAGAGCTCCCAGTTGCCCCTAGCATAGAACCAGCTGTTCCCAGTATGATCCCAGTTTGATCTCAGAAGGATAAGAGTCACCACCAGTATGACCCCAGGAACTTCCAGACACTTCCAGTATAAAGCCAGTTTGACCTGAAGGCCAGAATGGACAGACCTAAGGGTCAAAAAGAACTGGACAGACCTGCAGGCCGAGCCGTGCCCCGGAGCCAGGCAGGCCTGATAAACCAAAGGAGCTGGGAAGACCTGGCAACAACATCCCGCCCTGGGCCTGGATTTCGGTACCAAAAAACACTTTTGGGAAAGAGTAGGTGGAGTGGTGGGAAGGGGCAGAGGCAGCAGAGCCCAGCATGGAGCCACCAGCTCCAGGTACAACCTCCTCACCTGCTGGCAGAGTGCAGGAGCCAGAGCCCTTTGCCGGGTCCGGCTCCCGGTGCTACCGGGTGCTTTTGTCTTTGGTTTTGGGATCTGATGTGAGGGATTGTTTCTGTGGTGGTGGCTGGCAGAGGGGCTGAGGGATTGGGCTGGAGAGAGACGCCTGTCCCCTCCAGTGACAAAGCCACAGACAGGGATCAGGTGTTCCTGCTGGGCTCAGAGACCAGGTCTACCTTCTGGGTTCAGAGACTAGGTCTAGCCCTTGGGATTAGAGACCAGCTCTACCTGCTGGGATAAGACACCAGGTCCACCTGCTGGTCTTAGAAACGAGGTCTACCTGCTGGGCTTAGAGATCAGGTCTACCCTCTAGGCCAAGGAGACCAGGTCTACCTAATGGGATCAGCAACCAGGTCTGCCTTCTGAGCTCAGAGACCAGGTCTACCCCCAGGATAAAAGACCAGATTTACCTGCTGGGTTCAGAGACCAGGTCTACCCTGTAGACTAAGAGACCAGGTTTACCCCCGGGATAAAAGACCAGGTCTACTGGCTGGACTCGGAGACCAGGTTTATTGAGTGGCACTCAGAGAAGGGAGAGAGGATCACCGTGCTCTGTTCCATCACTGTCTCCAGCTCCACTCACTGGGCACAGATAGCAGGTGTAGTGGGTTGGCCCTGGTTAGACCCCCTAAAGCCTCTCTCTCACTCCCCTCTGAAACTGGAAAGAGAAGAGAAAAAAAGCACCGAAGGATTCACAAGCTGAGAAAAGAGCTGGGACAGGTCACTCACTGAGCACCCTCAGGGGAAAATCAGACTCCAAGTGGGGATATATATTAAGTGATGCCGAAAAACCTCAGAATAAAAGAACCACTGAGAGAGACTTTGCACCTTTAAGCAGCAAGCTATTTGTGTTTATTCAGTGCTGGACAAATTTTCTGGGCTCAGAAGTGCAAAAGCAAGCCATTTTATACACTCTAGATCCATGGTTACACCCTGGCTCTGGGCCCCTACATCTAATTCAAACACCTAGTTTACCTGATTTCTCACCTTGTGGCCTATTGTATACTATTCCCTGGCATTCTTTCTATAATGACACTCTGGTCTCCAGTGAGCAGAATAGAACATGATTATTAACCAGTGCTCCTAAGATGTTCTAAGAGCAACACAGGCAGAGCAAACCTCGGGCAATTACCTTCTCCTGGCTCAACAGGGCAAGGTATAGCAACTGAGCCACCTCCTTTTATGCCTTTTTGCCATCACAACTGAATTTATTACAAACACAATCAGAGCAAGAGAGCGAGAAATAAAATCATCTGGAAAACACCTTCCCCCCCCACCCCTCCTTCCTTGCAGGGAGACAGGAAATCCATCCCCATTTGGCTGTGGAAGATGCCCGTGGGCCAGAGAGAATGAGAATCATGGAATTACTTAAGCTGGAAAAGACCTTGGAGATCATCCTTGCCAGAGAGTCTCGAGGTGCAGGAAGGACTCCCTGGCTTTCTAAACGTCCCAAGGAAGAGTTCTTAGGCATAGCTGAATCCTCTCTCAGCTCCAGACTGTGTTAGCAGTTTAAATTTAAAGGAATTCCAGAGCTCTTAAACCACTTTGTCCCACAGGTTTTTAATGACGGCAAAATGAGAATATTTATATAAAATGAATGATTTACATGATTTACAAATGATCAGACAAAAACCCTTAATCAGAACTATTCACTGCACAACATAAACACTAAATAGAAACACTAAAAAGCTACTAGTAGATCATAATGTAGCACAAAGTACTACAGTGCACTGTGACAAAGCAATTATTGAAGCAGTTATACTAAAGTTAGTGAAAAGAAATAATTATTAAGTAGAGATCTGATGTAACTCACCCAGACCAGCGCTCGTGGGGAGATCTCTCTGCCTCCAGGAGTGACCTTGGAGGGTGTCCCCAGCCAAGGTAGGAATCTCCAGGCACACCCCAGGGAGGGTTTTGTCAGAAAGAGCCTGACTGCATGAGAGGGGACTGGACTTCTTATAGTATAAAGTGATTGACTGTCAGTCACACCTTTCCAGGCCAGTTCTCAGCTTATCTCCCAAATCACACTTGAAAAAGCAAAGTTTGACAAACCAGGATGGTTTTAGCACAGTTAACACCAAGAAAACACCCTGGCTACAGCAGTTGATCTTGTGTGGTAGCTTGATTATGAGCTGTATTGGATCTTGGGTCTGGTCAGGGTGGGACTATCTAGCCAGGGGTCTTCCCAATGTGGATCACTGGGGATGTGGGTCCCCAAGGTGAGTTCTCCAACAGGTGATGGAGTTGGAGCAGTGGCCAAAGCTCTTCCCACAGCTGGGGCACTTGTAAGGCTTCCCTTACTGGTGGGTCCGTTGGTGTTTGGTCAAGGTAGAGCTTGTGGGTGAAGCTCTTCCCACACTCCCCACACTTGTAGGGCCTCTCCCCAGTGTGGATGCGCCGGTGGGTGATGAGGTTGGAGTTCTGTTTGAAGCCCTTCCCGCAGTCGGTGCAGTGGAAGGGCCTCTCATCTGTGTGTGTCCGCTCATGCCTGAGGAGAGTTGGAGCTGCACTGAAACCTCTTCCCACATTGCAAGCACTTGTAGGGCCGTTCCCCAGTGTGGATGCGCTGGTGTTGGATCAGGCTGGAGCTGTGCCTGAAGCTCTTCCCACATTCCCTACATGTGTAGGGCCGTTCCCCACTGTGGATGTGCTGGTGTTGGATCAGGTTGGAGTTGCTCCTGAAGCTCTTCCCACATTCCCTACATGTGTAGGGCCGTTGACCAGTGTGGATGTGCTGGTGGCTGAGGAGCTGGGAGCATTTCCTGAAGCTCTTCCCACATTCCAAGCACCTGAATGGCTTCTCCCTGCTGGGAGGCTGCTCAGGGACCAACAGCTCGGAGCTCCAGCTCAAGCTCCGGCCGCCTTCCCGGCACAGGACGGGTCTTTCTTCCTCAGAGCTCCCTGGGCTGGCTTTGCAGCCCCTCCTCCGGGGGCGTCTCTGGGTCTTTTCCTCCCCGCTGCCTTCCTGCGCCAGGGAGCCCTTCAAAACGGCCTCTCCCACCAGGCTCTGCTGGGAGGATTTGTCCTCCGTGCTCTCCGTCCTCAGCTTAGGGTCTGGGCAGGAAGGAAGAAGGACAGGCAGGGGATTTGCCTCCGGACCAGAGGGAAGGCCAAGGACATCGCCCCCAAATTTGGCCCCCACGGGCACCACAAGACAGGGCCAAAGGGGCACTGACTTCCTCCTCACCTGCCTGGGGGGCCCGTGGCAGCTTCCTCATCCTCACAGCCTCCTCCTTCATCTGCCCAACCTTTGGGAAGGACAAATCCTGCTGGGGGGGAAAAAAGGGCTGAGTGCATTGGCTTGGGGGTTCCTCCTGCCCAAGTCCAGCTCTAGAACTCACCGGGCATCCTGGGACCATAAAAACCTCCAAAACATCAAGATTCTGTACAGAAAAACCCAAACCACTGATTGGGTGAGAAAAACCAAAATCACTTACACTGAGGCAAAAAACCTCAGAAACAGCAAGATGAATCCCCTCGGAAACGTCAAAAACTTAAGGTTCATCCAAAATACGAATCTTTATGCCAAAAAAGTCTCTCTCAGGAGTTCCCCCTCTCTGGTCTCTCCCCTCTGGTGTTCAGAGGGTCCCCCCTGTCTGGGATGTTGGGGTTCCCACTTAGGGATGCTGGGAGTGTTGGGGGTCCCAAGGGTCCCTTCTCCTCTGACTCTCACCTTTGGGGTGCTGCCTTCTGAGATATTGTCCTGGGAAGGAGGAATTCATCCCAAATAGCCTGGGGGGAACATGGGGCCCGTGACAACCTCAGGCTGCAACCACAGATTTCCCTGCAAAGTCTGCAGGGAGTCAGTCAAGCTCTGGAAGAAGATTGTGCCCAAAGGGATGAGATTGCAGAGGGATCCTCAGGTCCCCCAGATGAAGCAGCAAACAGCAAGATACAAAAGGCGCCCCCACCAAGGATTTCATGGGGAGTGTTCTGCAGGGAGGGGACAGTGTCACCCCATGAGGGCGGGGTTGGCAAGTGGGAGGCTGCTCCAGGTGTCTGCAAGAGGCCTCGTGCTCTGCTCGGCCCCATCAGTGGCTGGGACCAACACCCCGTCCTCGTGGTCAGCAGCTCTTTCCTGCCCCAGCCAAGAGGTTCCCAGCCCCCCAGTGCTCCCCTGGGGCTGTCCCTGCTCCTCCCTGCAGGCTCCATGCACACTTTGTGTTCCTGGGTGCCACCAGCTCAGCAGCTGCAGCCGCTCCAATCAGCGCCCGCAGCTCTGCAGCAAAGCCCCAGCTCACCTGGCACACAGGGCATGGACACAGCACCTTCTCGCTGCTGGGCACTCCCAGCTCAGCCTCTTCCCCAGCACGGGGCTCTCCTGCCTCAGCACCACCTCTGCCTTCCACTTCTTCTCAGGGCCACCTCAGGGACACCTCTGGGCTCACCTCCGGGCCATTGCTCAGGGGCATCTCAGGGCCTGCTCTCCAGCACAGGAACCTGCAGGGAGGGCAGATGATGTGCAAGCCCAGGGGGGCCTGCTTGCCGTGGCCTGGGGGCTTCTTTCTCCTTCCACAACCACCCCACAACTTCTCCTGCTTTTCTAGCCCCACATCTTTGCAGACTGACCTTGTCTCTCTGTCTGTACAGACACATCTATCCCCTGTGGACAGAGCCTCCAGCATGTGCTGCCCTGGCAATGGCACCCAGAGAATCCCAGAATCAGCCGGCTTGGAAAAGACCTCTCAGGTCATCAAGTGCACCCCTTGATCCAACCCTGCCATGGTTCCCAGACTGGGGCACGGATGCCCAGGGGAGGGGCTTTGGGGATGAGGGCTCTCCCAGTACAGCCCAGTGAACTCCTCAGTGCCCTCCCAGTACAGCCCAGCGCCCCCAGTACAGCCCACTGTGTTCCTGTCCCAGGGTGCCAGGTGATCCCTCTTTGCCAGGGGTTTGTTTGGGATTTGGGGCATTTTGGGGGCCTCTGGGTGCATTTTGAGGTGTTGGGAGCATTGGGGGGTCAAAGGGATATGGGGGGGAGGTGATTAAAGGAAAAATGGGGGTTAAGGGACATTTGGGGGGGCTTATTGGGGCTGGGGAGGGACAGGAGGGGCAGCACCACGAGCAAGTGAGTCCTGAGACCCCCCTGGTGTCCCCAAGACCCTCCTGCTGTCCTCAATTTCCCACTTGGCAGCCTGAGACCCTCCTGGGGTCTCCAATGGCCCCGGGGACTACCCATGGCCCCAATTCCCCCCCTGACACTCCCCATTCCACTGTCCCCAAACCCCTCCCCATTGTCCCCAAACCCCATCCCTGATGTTCCCAACCCTCCATCTTCCTCCAGAAGGCCCCCCTGGACCCTCTGACCCCCAAAATGGCCCCATCCCCTCACAGTTTCAGAAAGGTCAAGGGCATCTGGGGACACGTTGGGGACACTTGGGAGCCTTTGGGGGAAACTGGGTGATTACTGATGGATACTGGGACACACTGGGGAGAACCAGGGGGTACTGGGAGGGACTGGGGGGTAATTGAGGGATGCTGAGAGGGCACTGGGAGGGACTGGGTTATTAGTGGGGGATTACCAGGACACACAGGGGGACACTGGGAGGTTACTGGGCCATAATGGGGGTTACTGGGTGCTCACTGGAGGATTATCAGGTCATACTGGGGGGCAGTGGGAGGTCACTGGGCTACACTGGGGGCGCTGGGCCCCCATTACCTGAATGTGGTACATCGACTCCCCAGACTTCGGGGGGCACCCATAAGACCCCTTCCCTGGGAGCTGGGGGACCCTCTGAACCCCATTACTGGACTTTAGAGGACCCTCTGACCCCCCCTCCCTACGGCGTCTGTGATGAGTTTTGAGGGTCTCTGGGGCTCGAAGGGGGGGGCACCAGCACCCCCTTTCCTGCGCTCGGTCCGCCGGGCCGGCAGGGGGCGCTGTGGCGCAGCAGGAATGGCTGTGCTGCGCAAAGCCTCATGGGGGCTGCAGTTCCCTCATGGCCGGCGCGCCTGCGCATTTAAGCCACATCGCCGGGAGAGCCCCCCTTTCTCCCAGCCCCCGAGACGGTTTCAATCGCCGCGCTCCGCCCTTCGGGAACCCTCGAACTCCCCCGCTAAACCCTCCCGAGCCCTCCAGGCTTTCCACAGATCCCCAGTTCCAACAGCCCCGCTCTCCCCGCAGCCGCCATCGCACTCACCTGGATCGCTGCTGCACAACATGGCGCTGGGCGCGCGCACCGCGTTTAAAACCCCCCGCCGCAGCCAATCAGAGAGCGGGACCCGCCCCTCCAGTGCCGTTTCCTGCCACGGCCCGCCCCGCGCGGGGAACCACGGGAGTTGTAGTTTCGGCAGCGAAAGAACCAGCGCGGAACTCGGGACTGCGCGGGGCAATCTGGGCAGATCCGCGGGAGGAACGAGCGGCTGCTGCAGTGTCCTCCGGGGACAGAGGAGGAACGAAAGGGCCGCTCCGAGAGCAGCTGTAGGCGAGATTAATGAGAGAAGGGAGAGAGGAATCGCAGCTGGAGTCCTCTAAAGAGACATCCCTCCCTCTGACTTCAAGCCTTTGCGGGATCAAGGGGAAAAGCTGTCGGTGTCGCTCCGTCCCCTAATTAAAACAGAATACAAAGATTCTCAAATGACAATACCCCTCAAATAACTGCAAAAGAAGTTCCTCAGACAGTGACTGAATCAGCGGAGTTAAAAAAGGAATAGAGCAGAACCCCTCAAGGATCTGAATATGTTTGAAGAGTCTCTCTTACTGGGGCTGACCAAATGTTGTTATCAGCAAAAGAGGCTGAAGGGTTCTGGGGAGCCGGAGTTTTCCTGACCACAGGAGATTCTCGTGGGCCCTGGTCCCTTCCCCAAAGAGCAGCCTGTTGGGCAGGGGGACTCAACCCCCTGCAAAGGGGAGATCCCCTGGCTACAGTGGGAAATGTTCATCAGATTGTGGAAAGTGAGCAAGAGGCTGCTTGTTTACAAACGATGGGTGATAGGGAATGAGCACCAAGCCCTGAATCCCCTGTGATGCTGCCTGCAGACCCTGAAAGAATGATTGCCCTTCTCAGAGGTCTCCCTGGGGCTGTGAAACCCACTGGCATTCAACTCAAAGGACACATAGAAAGCCTCAGCAAAGGGGACAGAACTGCAGCCCCCTCAGAAGCAGCTTTAACCCCCAGTCGTTACTGCAGAGAAAATAAGATTTGGACCTGGGGGAAGGTGGCACAGGAATTAATTAATTAGAGAAGAAAATATGGTCCAGGACCTTCAATCACTACTAATTCTCAGTCAACTGGGCACAGAATGCAAAACAAGAATTCCTCCAGCAAGACTCCAAAAGGAAACGTTCTGCCCTGGACAAGGAGGACCCACCAGCACTGGAGGACATGGGAAAAAGGAATCCCCTGTGGATTGTGGGCTTGCAAAAAGGAATCCCCAAATCCCTCAGGGATGGCCAACCCAGGGAGAAATGAGAGACATTAATGCAAGAGTGGGCAGCAAAGGAGGGATCCTTGAAAGCTGTCCCTGCTGCAGCCCCTGCCCTGGAGAGCTCACAGCAAGGGGAGGGGACAGGAAACTCCTCTCTTCATCCTCAGGAGCTGAGCTGGGCTGCCAAGGGTGGTTTGACATTGGATGGTTTCCCAGAAATTCCAAAGGACACTTGTTAATAACCTGTCCTATCGGTCCCCACAAAACCCCTGTCACTTTTCTGGTAGGTCCTGGCACTCCAGTGTCTGCCCTGAACACTGAAGGTGCATCTGCCTGTGGAATCACTCCCTCACAGAAAGGCACATTTGCTGTGGGTGCTTTTGGAAACACCCAGAGAACAGCAAAGGTGAGATGCTGCTGACCAGGGGAGGAGAAAGCAGGTGAAACCCTGATGGTTTGGGATGAACTTCGTGCTCATTTACTGGGGCTACACCTCCTGAAGGGAAGGGCTTGGATCTAAACACTCCCCTACTCCAGCACATCCTGCACCCCTCTAACCTGGTGTCATCATCAAATTTGCTCATGAAGTCCCTGGTTCTGCAGGAGCTGGAGATGCTCAAGGGGCAGCAGGACCAAGTCAGGGGCCTGGGGGGCTTTGGGGTCCAGGAGGGTCTTGGGGGAGCTGGGGAGGGGCTTTGGGGATTAGGGGTACAGACGAAGACAGACCAGTACAGACCAAGACCTTCTCATTGCTCCCAGATCTCTCCTGGAGCTGGGCCACATTGTCATGGGATACCTGAGCCCCCCCGGTGCCTGCCAAGTACAGCCCAGTGCCCCCAGTACAGCCCACTGTGTTCCTGTCCCAGGGTGGCAGGTGATCTCTCTTTGGGAGGGGGTTGAAATGGATTTGAGGGGGGGGGGTTGGGGGAGATCTGGAGGGATCTGGGGGTGGTTGGATGGGTATATGGAGGGCTTTGGGTGCATTTGGGGGAGATAAAAGGGGTCTTGGAGGCATTGGGGGTGAAATAAAGACAAGATAAAATACACTAAAAAATTAGCTATGTTAGTAAAATTTCGCTATGTTTTGTGTGACTTTGCAAGATTCTAACTGCTTGAAAGAAGGTTGCTGCCCAAATTGTGAACAATTAGGATAAAGCTGATGTAAACAAAAGGGACTGTCAGGGACAAGCAGGAAAGACTTCCAGCATGGAGCATGGCAAGGGAGACAGAAGAGGGGTGGGGGAAACCTGAGCTGTTTGAAATTATAAACTTTATGTAACCACTCTATAGTAACAGGAATAGGAGTTAGGCAACCAAATGTCTATTTAGATAAGGCAGACTTGGTAAAGAGTGTCTGTGATAGATAATTTTAAACTCACTCCTCCAAAGGTATAAAAAGCTGTTGTGTTCCTTTTCTGGGTGGACTGCACGGGGGGACAAACCCCCTGCACCTCCCCAGCCCTGATAACAGCGTGCCTGACACATTGTGGAGGATTTCTCTGAACCACAAGGACTCAGCACCAAAAGCCCCACGGGGCTCACTCAGATAAAGCAAGTCCTGACAAACCACGGCCCTTCCTGTGATTTCCCTCTGGTCTGGACAGTAAATTAGGAATGTTGTCCATGGAATCAGGGGCCATTGTGACACTGCAGGGCCCCATGGAACTGTGTTGTCTGGCTCTGCTGGGAGGGGCCCAGCTTTGCTGGCCTGGGAGGAACGAGCTCCCAGAGCTCCCAGTGTGCACAAACATCTGGCTCCCTTCTCCTCCTGGGTCCCACCCAAAGCCTGGCCAGGCCTGAAGGGGCAAACCCAGGGAGCCAACCTGTCCCATCTGCTGCCAAGCAAGGCCAGACATCGACTGCCACGGCCTTCACCAGCCCCCAGACATGGGGAGATAAAGGTCACACCTCGCTCACAATCACACACATTCTGTTAATGAACAGACACAAACAGTATCCACTAATGAGCAGATATTAATACATCTTACTAATGGCATTTTGTTGATGAGCAGACACACAGTGTAGTCTTATCACACCACATCTTTTAATCACAAACACACTGTCGTGGTTTTGCCCACCAGCTCATCCCTGGGGCTGAGGATGGTTTTGTCCAGGTGATTTCCGGACAAAAAACCAATCAAAAAGTTCAGTGACGCCTTTGCTAATTACATCTTTAAGAAAACGGAAGAGAAGGTTGTGGCGCAGTTGAAATTAGGAGCAGCAGCCATGTAGGAGAGACGCGGTGGGCCCGAGGAGGGCCAAGGCCCCCTCCTCCCTGGCTTGGGCCGGGGAGGGGGGCAGGTGAGGCACTGAAGCCTCCCTTCTCTCTTGTGAGAGAGTGAAGAAAAAAAGGTTTAAAAGACAAACTGCTTAGACGAGAAACCGCTGCAGAAGAATTCCAGCCATGAGATAACAGAATTTCCAAGGTCAACGCTGGCAGCTGAAGCTGCAACAAGAGAGAGAAGAAAAGTTCGAAGGGGGGAGAACTGCTTTTTCTCCTTTTCGCTCTCCCTCCCTTCAGCAGAGTAAAAACTGAAAAATAAAATCCCTGCCACCTGTAGAAGTTTGTTGGAGTGAAGAGACCCCCCGTGCGGCTCACAGAGGAGCTTGTGGATGCACCAGAGATTTGTGACTTTAACAGAGAAAGCCTTATGCTGGAGTAAAAGCGGCTCAGATGAGGCAGAGTCCTGTTAAAGACTTTGTGACCCTCGAAGGGATCGATGCTTATGTTGGAGCGAGACAGCTCAGATAAGCCTGGGATCTCAGTGAGAGATCCATGCTGCTGCTGTTGAAGATTTATGACCCTGACGGGTATTAGAACCTACGCTGGAACACAAAACGGTTCAGGTAGGGATGTTGGGATCCATGTGTGGGATCCGTGCTGCTGGTGCTAGAGAGAACCTACGCTGGAGCAGAAAATGGCTCAGGTGGGATATTGGGATCCGAGTAAGGGATCCAGACTAGACCCATGCCGAGAAGTCAATCAAGGACTGTTCTCCCATGGGGAGGGACCTCCATAGGGAAACAGGGGTGAACTCTTAAACCATTATCCCCTGTAACCCTGTGGAAGAAGATCCATAGTAAGCAAGTGTCCCCTTGCAAGTCTATGGAAGGAGACCCTTCAGGACCTGGGTAACCCTCAGCCTTCGGTTTTAACCCAGGAGGGGGGTAGGCCCAGCCCTGGAGGCCAACACAGAATGAGAGAGAGATAAAGAAGTTCCAACTGCGACGAAAGTGCTGCAGAGTTACTGGAGAGAGAGAGAGAGAGAGAGAGAGAGAGAGAGAGAGCTGGAATTCTGAGAACAGAAAAGGACTGCTTCTCCTCCTTGGACTGATATAAAGGGAGGTGGGGGGAGAAGTATCTTCTGTAAATACATAATACCTTTTACTTAAGTAGAATTGTTGTAAATATAATTCTTTAGTGTTAGCTTGTTAATAATAAATACTCATACTTTTTTTTCAATTCAGTCTCTTTTTGTCTGCATAAACCTTCTCTCAACTAATAGTAATTGTATGGGGTATAAAAGTGAATTGAGCCAGGGCAAAACCACGACACACACACAGTTTTAGCTGATGAGCAGTACATGGATAAACAGAACATCAGCTTGGAAGGGTCATGCAGAGGCCAACTTTGGCCCAGGGCCTGTAATTCAGGCCTCACCACTTCAGGGACAGACAGACAGGGCTTTTGATTACACACACATTTACACATTCAGCAGATATTCTTGCTCACTTTATCCATGGACTTGTAGGTAACTCTGGGGTCACATTTGGTACTAAAATGAGATGGAAATTTTCCCCCATGTCAAGAGTGTTTTAACTTGCATCAGAAGAGCAAAACGAGACTGAAGCATTTTGTTTCTGCAGTCCAGTGGGAACCTCTGTCTGGTGACCTTCCCAAAGGTACCCCAAATCCAGGGATTCCTGGATTCAACAGGATTCCACTCCCTTCCCTAGCCTGGTTGGTGCCACAAGGAAAAACCTCTGGCCACCCAGAGAAGGTACCCCCGAGACCAGGAGATATTTATACCCCCCTTCTCTGGGCAGTTCAGTGCAATCCATCTGCCAACATTCACCTGGAACATTTCCACACTTTCCATCCCCTATTCCCACCCCACTGGCAGGGTTTGGATTGTTTCTCTCACACTCCCCACACCGCTGACTCACTGCTGGTACAATTGGGGTCAGTTTTGGACCCAGAACCCACTTGTGCAGATGTTACAGTGCAGAAACAAAGACAAACACAAACCAGTGATCAGTGGATAAAACAAAGCCAGAGACCAAATTGTGGAACACCAAATAACCCCCCCAAAGCACTGGAAGATCCACACATCTGGATATTCCCCCTTACTCAACACATGCCCATTACTTTGCTTTACACACTCACACCCCTATTGCAAGTACCCATTTGGTCATTTGGGGTCTTCTTTGGGGGTCTCTGGAGGGGTTTTCTGTGTCTGGTGCCCCCCAAAGTTGAGGTGTCCCCTTGTTGCCCTCAGTTCTGAGCAGGCACAGTGTCAGTGTTTTTCACCACAAAGGCTGGAACGTTTGGGTTTGATCTTCTCTGGGTCCCCAGAGCTCAGCTGACATCCTGGTTGCTTCAGGTACATCCCTGATCCAATAAATCCTCCAGGATTTCTTCCAGATTCTGTTGTTCCTTATTTGGCCAGAGTGGAATGTTGTGAGCAATGTTCTATTTCTCCCACCAAAAAGTCCAGGGGGGCTCATCCATCTGGAGTCCAGCAGGTCTCAGGAGGCTCTGGGAGGGATGGAAGCTCTTCCCAGAAGTAACTGAGGGGTGGAGATATTCCTCATCCTGCTCCTCCACAGCTGGGTCGAGACAGCCCCTGGGGATGGGAACAGCTGCCTTGGTTGCTTGGGGATCTTGTCCATCACTGTTTGTAGGGTCTTCCCACATGGCAGCATCCTGGGAGCCGTGGACTGGGCACTGGCACCCCCAGGAAGTTTTCTGCTGTGCCACTTGCTCCTGGGAATGCCTCAGCTGGGAGCCTGGAATGGGCTCCTTACCCCCAGGCTGTTCCTGGCCATGGGCACCCTCAGGGATGAACGGGCTCTGCTGATTCCCGCGGCTCCAGGGGAGCAGGGAGTGCCATCCATGGGGGCTGATCCATCTGAAGCCTGGCAGGGCTCAGGGAGGCTCTGGGAGGGATGGAGGCTCCTGCCTGAACTAACAGAGGTGCAGAGATTTTCCTTATCCCGCTCCTTCCACAGCTGGAAATGGGAAAAGCCACCTTGGACACTGGAGGATCTTGTCCAGCAATGTCTGGAGGGTTTTCCCACATGGAAGCATCCTGGGAGCCATGGATTGGGTACCAACACTTGCTGCTGTGCCACTTGCTCCTGGGAACACCTTACTGGAACGGGCTTGTTACTTCCAGGCTTTTCCCAGCCCTGGGCATCCTCAGGGATTGGCAGGGTCTGCTGATCCCCTCGGCTCCAAGGGACCTGGGGGACCTGTCCATGGGGCCTCTGCCATGTGGATTCTGCAGGTTCTTACGGAGACCCTGGGAGGCCTGGAGGCTCTTGCCAGAAGTAACTGAGTTCCTGAGGTTTCCTTATCCTGCTCCTCCACAGCCGGATCAAGAGAGTGCCGTGAAGTTGGGAACACCTGCCTTTGCCACTGGAGGATCTTGTCCAGCAACGTCTGGAGGGTTTTCCCATATGGAAGCATCCTGGGAGCTGTGGATTTGGCACTGGTGGCTCTGGGACATTTGCTGCTGTGCCACCTGCCCCTGGGAATCCAGGAATGGAATGGGCTGGGCTCCCACTGGGACTGGATTAGCGGGGTCTGCAGATACCCACTGCTCCACGGGAGCAGGGACTCTTATCCATGGAGGCTCTGGGAAGGATGGAGGATCTTGCCAGGAGATATTCCTTATCCTGCTCCTCCACAGCTGGATCAGGAGAGAGCCTGGAGATGGGAACACTTCTCTTTGCCACTGCAGCATCTTGTCCAGCACCACGTGGAAGGTCTTCCCATATGGCAGCATCCTGGGAGCCATGGATTGGGCACCAACACTTGCTGCTGTGCCACTCTATCCTGGGAATGCCTCACTGGAACAGGCTTGTTGCTCTCAGTCTCCTCCTGGCCATGAGCATCCTCAGGGATGAGCGGGGTCTGCTGATCCCCACGGCTCCAGGGGACAAGGGAGACCTGTCCCCCGGGATTCCTCCGGCCTCCAGCCAGCAGGGCTCACGGAGGCTCCTACAGGGATGGAGCCTCTTGCCACAAGGAACAAGGTGCAGGGATATTCCTTATCCTGCTCCTGCAACCCCGGATTGAGAGAGTGCCCTGGAGATGGAGCAGCTGCCTTTGCTGCCGGGGGATCTTGTCCAGCACCACCAGGAGGGTTTTCCCACTCGGCACCGCCACAGCACCCCGGGAGCCTTGGATTGGGCACTGCAGCACCCCTGGCCAGGCTGTCCTTCTGGCTGCACACTCGTGTCTCCAGCTCCCTGGTTGCTGCCCACAGCACGTGCACTGGGACACAGGCACGGCAGGAGGGGCCAGGAGGACAGTCCATGCTCGTGGGCTCCTGAGAAGAGCAGGGCTGTGCTGAACAGAAGCAACTCTGTCTGCCAGAAATGAAAAGAAACAAAAATCTGCAACGAGAATTCACTGCTCTCATCTTAAAACAGAGGTGAAATCAGTGCAATAGGACATGGAGCCAACTACAGCGTTCATGACATGGATGATACAACTTGCAAGTTTTCACCAGGAACTGCAAAACATCCACGTGCTGCTCCCAGGCATTTTTAGTTCTGTCCTGCTTCCTGGCAAACTAAGTTTGCCTGTAGGTCAAAGAAGGACAGACTCAAGCTTAAGAAATTAAAATATTTTGGAGTTATAATCCTTAAAACATCACCTTTCAAAGGGAGATAAGTAACAGGAAAAACAGCCAAATTGAGTCATGGCAGAATAAAAGACTTTGATTTGATTCTTCACAATGTTTTGTTTTTATTATTAATTTTACTCCAGCAATTACCAAACGATCACATCGGGGCCCTGCTTAAATTAAAAAGGCTTCATAAGCTGACTCCTGTCTGCCAACTGGGAATAAATCAACTCCTCTGGAACTCTTTGGAATAGACAAAAAGATTTGTTGAAACTCTTTGTCAAAACCTTTAACTTGACTGAGCTTCAGGACTCCTGCAACTCTCCTGTTATTAGTTCATCACCTGGATTATAAACCATATTTATCTGGTTGGCCCAGGTAAAGATTTACAAATATAAAATAAGATCCTTCATTTCCAGGAGCTACAAGCTGTAATCACACACAAGGACATTTGTCATTTTTTGGTTCTGCAAAAGCTTGGGAAACTTTTCCCTTTTATATTTTCCCTTCTGAACTCATCTCTTTCCTTTCTCTCCCTTCCTCTACTCAGAAGAACCTTTCCTGTGGTTTATTCCTGTGTGGACTCTCTGATCCTTCCACAGGACTTTATAGAGATGTGGTTGTTGCAAAAAAAAATACTTATTAGATCTTTCTTGGGTTTGATTGAGACTGTTCAGATGATGAAACACATATTTTACATTATCCTGAACTGCAAATTTGTTACACAATTAAAGGAGAATATATAAAAAAGGTTTGAATAGCATAATTGAAAAAGGCTCATTACCTGTCCAATTGCCATAAAGTAAAGCTGTATCTGTCGTCTAAAGAGGAAAAAAGCCTTTTTTCCCCTTTTGATTTGAACACACATTTGGACTTTTTTTCCTGTATCAAATGAAGCAAAAAGAATATGTTATTACAACTTTATTATTTCCTAAATGCATGGTGTGTGCTACAGAGCACCACTGAACTGTGCCAGCCTTCCTGCAGCTGGATAAACTCAGTGCAGATTTGCACCAGGAGCTGTAAATCATCAACCATCCCCATGCCCTGGGGTGAGCCCTGACCCCAGCAATGCCTTCTGGGGACAGGTTCTCCACCTGTGCAGGCATCCTCCTCCCTGCAGGTGTTCCAAGTTCCCCTCTCCCACGGCCCTCCACCCAGCCATGGAACACTGACAATCCACAATGGTTCACACCTGGCATGGATTTTTTCCTTTGGGAGATCTGGGGCAACCTGGAACTTGCTCAGCCTCTTGTGCCCTGTTCAGGTGGGCATCTGTCACTTTTCCTCCTGCAATAATCCAACCCAATCCAACCAGTACTTTGCTGCTGCTCCAAGGAATTACCAGAAGCTTTGGCTGTGTTTTACCATTGTAGATCTCAATTTTATATAACTCAAGTTAAATAAGTACAATTTTAAAACACTGGCACTTCTGTATTTCAAACTCCCAGCACAGCACAGACATTTGACAGCTGATCCTGAAACTTGACTGGTGATAATGCCAGCAGGGTATTAATAAATAGGGAATATCAGGACAGAAGTTCATCCAATACACACACCCCAAAATTGTCCCAAAAATACAGATTGATTTGGGAGGTTGTTTTCTGGAAGGAACAAACTTCACAGCCCTGCCATACACACAACAAAGTGTGACCCAGGCACGAAGGGGAGCAAAGCTGAGGGTCCTTCAGGCTCCAGATTTAAAGGGTGACATTGGCTGGACACTGCTGGGAGCCCTCACACATTGCCCACGTTGGGGTGAACTCACAGAAGAGACAGAAATGGTTTTCATGCTGCTCCAATATAGAATCTCTTTACCCAAACCCCAAATCTGAACAAAATCTGCCCCTGCTTTTCCCTCCATACACCCAGGACGTGTGTGGGGCACAGAGGGGGAACAGGAGGGTCTGTCTGCACAGCAGACAAGCCTGAAGAAGCACAATCTGTCATCCTCACAACAAACAGTGTGAGTTTAGCCCAGCAAGGGCTTGAAAACCCTGGTGACTAACTGGGGGGGAGGAGAGGAGGGAAAAAATCCTTACCAATTCCTTAGGGACTTCTATGCAGGAAAACATAATCAAAACACTCATATCAAAGCAATCCATTACACTTTTTGCTAACTGGAAATTCAAGATATATTATCTAATATATGGCTTATTATTTACAAGAGATGCAAAAGGAAAAATAAAATATTTTACCAATTGGTTCTTCAACTCATTTCGTGGATGAAGTTCCATTTCTGAACTTCCCTGGGCAAGGGGAAATTGGGAGGAGGGTCAGGGAATTTGGGGGGTCCTGGGGGATTTGGGGGGTCCCTCCCCCTTTTTCGGGTCTTGGGGGACTCCTGGGGGGGATTTTTGAGGTCCCTGGGTGGGTTTTGGGGTGAATTTTGGGAGTTTTTGGGGTCCCTGGGTGGGTTTTGGGGTGAATTTTGGGGTTTTTGGGGTCCCTGGGTGGATTTTTGGGGTCCCAGGTTGGGTTTTTGGGGTCCTGGGGGGGATTTGGGGGGTCCCTCCCCCTTTTTCAGGTCCTGGGGGGCTCCGGGGGGGATTTTTGAGGTCCCTGGGTGGGTTTTGGGGTGAATTTGGGGGGTTTTTGGAGTCCCTGGGTGGATCTTTGGGGTCCCAGGGTGGGTTTTTCGGGTCCTGGGGGGGATTTGGGGGGTCCTGGGGGGGATTTGGGGGGTCCCTCCTTATTTTTCGGGTCCTGGGGGACTCCTTGGGGGGATTTTTGGGGTCCCTGGATGGGTTTTGGGTGAATTTTGGGGTTTTGGGTCCCTGGATGGTTCCACTTCGAACTTCCCTGGGTGAGTTGCAATTGGCTGGTGAGGCCAAAAGATTCAGGATCAGGACTTTTATCTTTTGAAACTACATATTGGATTTTAGGGATAAATTGCAACATTCTGAAACTGGAAAGCTGATAAAACAGAAAATACTGTTTCTCCCTCAAACACATTTGAAGAAGTCCACCCATGAAAACATTCCAGCCCTGCAGAAATCCAAGCCCTTGCAGCCTGCTCAGCTCACCTGATCCCTCCTCTCCACTGACGGCAGGAACAGGACTCTCCTATTGCAGGGGCTCACCTGGAGATGCTGGGTTAAGGACTCACAACTTCTTAAGAAAATCAACATTATAATCTCACAGTTCTGGCAAGGTTTCATTATCAGAGGGGTTCAAAAGCAAAGCTCTGTTGCCAGGACCAATTAATGCAGGATGGTGCTCTAATGCCAAAGGTTATTTCTGTTGCTGCTTTTGTTACACTCTGGAATAACTCCTGTAGAGATCAGAGCTGGCAACCAGAATTCCAATGGCACTCTTGTTTCATTTTTCAGACTTTGCATTTCAAGAGTGGTGAATTTTATTGGAAACTTTGAAACGGTTGTAACAAACTGCCTCTGAAATTTTATTTTATTTATTTCTGAGGCAGAATTTTCAAACATATCCTTTGAGTGTGCAAACAGTTGAATGAGTTGTAATGATTTTTATTTACAATTGTACATTTGCCCTGATTGATGTCCTAATTTATATTTTGTTAAATGTGAGTTCTTTCATTGTTGTCTTCTGTAATAAATGGCTTTTCACTATTTTTTTAAAAAATATAACCCACAAGCGTAAAGGTGATCTCATAAAGTGTTACAACCTTTTAAATCCACTTGGTGCCACAGAAGCACAGCATGCAAATATTGCATCCAAATATACTGATATTTACACCAGAAAGTTTGGACTTGATGACAGTTCTACACAGTCATGAACAGAGGGTTAGTTTTATGTGGTGACCATGAATAAATAAAAGCTCTGAGCTTTTCTTTGTTGTTCCCATTGATAACTGCCAGCCTGCCCTCCGTGGGGAACACAGGCCTGCATTTTGTAGAGTAGGGATGAAGACCTTTTGGAGCCCGATAGTTTGATCCCCATTTAACTGGTTTTTAGAAATCAGGAGCTGGACTCGAAGGTGCTGAGGGGTCCCTCCCAGCTCAGCACATCCCACGATTCCATGAGGTCCAACTGCCCACCCAGCACCGCCCCAGGAACCCCCAAACCACTGAACCGCGTCACTCATGGCCAGCTCCAGACGCCGCTGAAACACCTCCAGGGACGGCGACTCCACCTGGGCGAGCTCTTGCAGCGCCCGAGCGCCCTGTGGGTGCAAACAACTCTTCCGATCCCTGCCCTGGCCCTGCCCGGCCTCAGCCCGAGCCCCTTCGCTCCTGCCAGCGCAGGCTCCTTCCCAGCAGCCGCCTGAGGAGGAGGCGGCTCCCGGCTCCCCTGTGCCCCCCGGCCGGCCCCGCTCCGGCCCCGCTCGGGGCGAGAGCTCCCCCGGGGTGCCCTTGGCGGCGGTGGCTCCCTGTGGGTCCCTCCCCGCGGGTCTCTCCCCGGGGCCGCTCTCCGTGCCCGTCCGGCCGCGGCCGCTCCCAACTCCCAACTGCCCGAGGGCACCTCGGCCGGGGCTCTTGGCCCCGCCCCCTCCCCTGCCCGACCAATCCCCGCCTCGCCCCGCCCACTCCGCGTCTTCCCATTGGCTGCGCGCGCCCAGCCCATGGGGCGAGGAGCGCGCGGGGAGGGTTCGACGCCACGTGACCCGCGGGGGGGGTGGAACAGGGGTGAGGCGGGGAGCGCTGGGAGCTGCCTGGCAACTGATGAGTCATCAGCTCCGCGCGCTCCCATTGGTTAAAAAATGCTTCGGGTCCTTCTCTGGCTGATCCCCCCAAGTCCCCCCTCAGTGCCCCCCCCTCCCCCAAAAACCGGGACCGGGTGAACTGGGAAGCTTTACTGGGAACACTGGGAGAAACTGGGCTGGGGTAGAGTGACAGTGGGGGAGGGGAGACACACAACCCCCCAGGAATCAGCGGGGGGATGGGGGGGGTCCCGGCTGGTCCTGAGGCCCCCTCACCTCCTTCCGCAGGTGGAAGCCGAGCTCCAGCCCAGAAGGATGAACCCAACACAGAGCCCCTACCCCTGTCAGCATCTTGGGGGGGCGGCGTCCGTCGGCAGCTCGAGGAGGGCCTGGAGGGGTCAGGACACCCCAAAAATTCTCACAGACCCCGCGGCGTCCCCCAAACCCCCTCCCAGTCTTACAAACGCCCCCCAGACCTCCCTAACCCCTTTACAGCCCATCCAGGACTCCCCCAAACCCTGTCCCAGCCCCGCCAGGAGCTCTCAAATCCCCTCCCAGGCACACAGGACACTCCCAACGCCCCCCCGGGCCCCCAAACTGCCTCCCAGACCCACAAAAGTCCACAAGACACCACCCAAACCCTTCCCAGTCCCCTCCAGCCTTCCCAGGACCCCTCTAACTCTCTCCTAGTTGCTCCCTTCCCCTCGAGGACTCCCCCAAACTCTTCCCCAGTCCCTTCCCCTGGGAGAGAAGGGAGATTGGGATGGGCTGAGGGGCACTGGGAGAGAGAGAGGAATTTTTTTTGCCCCTTTCCTGGGCACTGGAACCCCCTGCTCCCCCGTTCCCGACCATCCTGGCTCTCCTTTTCCCCCCAAGCCATGAACAGGTTTTGGGGGTCTCTCGAGCGTCGCAGCCAATAGGATGATGCTGTTTCAATGACGTCACTGGTTTCCAGGCAGAATATGCCCGCCCCTTCTCCCGCCCCTGTGAGACTCATCCAATAGAGCATCGCGACTTCCGTGACATCACCGGTCGTCAGGCAGAAGCGCGGGGGCTGCCGGGAGTGGGGCGGTGCTCGCGGGGGGGCAGATCCCGATCGATCACGATCAGTTGGGATCGATCGTGATCTGGGGTCTCCTCCGGCCACGATGTTCTTCACGTATGGTCCCAATGAGGCCATGGTGGTGTTGGGTGAGTTCGGAAGGGGCCCCGGGGCTCCTGGTGACCCCCCAAATTCCCAAGAGTCCTGGGGATCCCCTAAAAACCCCTCTACGATTCCTGGCTCCTCCCCACCCCCCCTTCTTGAGGTCTCACCTCAGTCCTTCCCCTTCCCCCAAGTATCCTGTGAGTTCCCCAACCTCCCCCTCCATCCCCCTAAATCTCCTGGGACTCCCCCAGCCCTCCCAAACCCCCTCCTGGGGACCCCTGTATCTCTTCCTCAGGATCCATGGCTGGAACAGAGACAAGAAGAACAGTCATTCAAACACTACAAAAAAATTTTTATTGCAGTGAGTGTAAAAAAACTCCTAGCAAAGCGAATCAAAAGCTAAAAAAGAATACAAAAACACTACTTTATCAGTTGGTTTTCATACAATACTACGAACATCTTTTATTACAGTATTAGCTAGTAAAAAGGGAATTAAAGGGACACAAAAAAAAAGAATAAAAAAGGTTTTCTTTCCCGGTTGCTTCCTATCAACAAACTGTGCTCACCTGCACAGACAGGCCAGGCCTACCAGGCTCTGCAGGGCTGGTCGGTGCCCGTGCTTGGCGGGTGTCCCCGCGGAGCAGCACAGTGTGGATGGAAGGATGAGCATCGCTCCACCCAGCAGTGCTGACACCCCATTCCATCAGCTCTACATTACACTACGTAGGGCCAGGACGCAGCAGAAGGTGGTGCTTGAGTGGCAGCCAAACAGCGCCCGTTCATCACCCCATGGCAACAGTCTGGGCGTGCCCCACTGTAGGGCAAGGGGCCAACGACCCCTGCCCACATCATCTTCCTCTCTATCACCTTCCTCAGCCCTATGGACGACCTGTACCATTGTGTTCCAAGGGGATTTGTATCTCTCTTGCAGAGTGGAGCCAAGCCAAGGAGGAACTCAGCTCTGATAATGGGGGATATGCAATTAAAATTGCTATAGACACAGTGGGCCCTACAGTGAACTTGTGCAACAAAGTCACATTGTACAATACTCTGGCTGTGTTCACATGCGAATATAATCACTTTTTCACCCCTTTTTGCTCCATGGATCATCTAAATCAAAAGTACCCCCTTACACCATGGTAACCATTGTGCATTCTCATTGTTACACTGATTACCATGGCAACCATTAAGCATTCTAATTGTGAAGTTGGTTACCACTGCAACCATTGTCCATTCTCATTGTGACATCGCTTACCTTGCAACCACAATGCATTCTCATTGATATGTGCATTACCATGGCAACCATTGTGCATTTGGATTGATAGGTTCGGTTAATAAAGCAACCATTATGCATTCTTATTGATACGTCGTTCACCATGGCAACCATCTGTAACACACAGATAATATAGAAATTCCAAAAATGGTTTCTGCCTGTCAAAACCTTCCTATCAAACATTCTCTGTCAGCTCTCTGCCAGAAGTTCTCACCAGGACTTCCCACTGCACTTTTCCTGCCAAAACATCCTGCCATTGTTTATGATTATCATATCTCTGCCAATATCTCAACTGACTACGTGCCAAGAAACCACGTACAACCTCCTCTGAACACTCTAAAAGTTGAGGGCAAATTCTGGAAAATCAGGGAGAGGAAAGGGAGAACTGGTGACTGTAGCCTAGAATCTCTGCCCACCGCCCCTCACCTTTTCTCCATGGAAACTGCAACACTAAAGAAACATTAAAAGAAACACTAAAGAAACACTAAAACTACCACTAATACAGAATAAGATAGGACAGTGCTCTACACTAAAGCAATTTTTGAAGCAATTCTACTCAAGTTGGCACCAAAGCAAGAATTATGAATTAGAGATGGATGGAACTCCCCCAGACCAACGCTCGTGGGGAGATCTCTGTTCTCAACCTCCAGCAGTGACCTTGGGGGGTCCCAGCCAAGGCAGGAATCTGCACACACCCCCCAAGAAGGGTTCTGTTGGCACAACCTGCCCCTGGCAAAGGGGACTGGCCCTTTCTGGTGGAAAGGGATGGACTGACAGTCACTGGACTCCAGGGGTTGCCTCACCATCAGGGGGGTCATTCGGGGTGGGAGCAGCGGCCGAAGCTCTTCCCGCAGTCGGGGCACTCGTAGGGCCTTCCCTTACTGGTGGGTCCGTTGGTGTTTGGTCAAGGCAGAGCTCTGGGTGAAGCTCTTTCCACACTCCCCACACTTGTAGGGCCTCTCCCCGGTGTGGATGCGCCGGTGGGTGATGAGGTTGCCGTTCTGGTTGAAGCCCTTCCCGCAGTCGGTGCAGCGGAAGGGCCTCTCCCCTGTGTGTGCCTGCTCATGCCTGAGGAGCTTGGAGCTGGTCTGAAACCTCTTCCCACATTCCAAGCACTTGTAGGGCCGCTCCCCAGTGTGGATGCGCCGGTGGATGCGGAGGTTGGAGCTGGTCCTGAAGCTCTTCCCACATTCCCTACACATGTAGGGGCGTTCCCCAGTGTGGATGCGACAGTGGTTGCGGAGGGCGGAGTTCTGCCTGAAGCTCTTCCCACATTCCCTACACGTGTAGGGCCGTGCCCCAGTGTGGATGTGCTGGTGGCTGAGGAGGTCTGAGCTCTTCCTGAAGCTCTTCCCACATTCCAAGCACCTGAAGGGCTTCTCCCTGCTGGGAGGCTGCTCAACAGATGCACCACAAGACAGGGCTAAAGGGGCACTGACTTTCTCCTCACCTGCCTGGGGAGCCTGCGGCAGCTTCTTCGCAGCCTCCTCCTCCATTCACCCAAGCTTTGGGAAGGACAAATCCTGCTGGGGTTGAAACAAGGGCTGAGCGCGTTGCCTTGGGGGTGCCTCCTGCCCAATCCATCTCTAGAACTCACTGGGCATCATGGGACCATAAAAACCTCCAAAACACCAAGATTTAGCCCAAAAATCCCCAGCCAGGAGCTCCTCCTCTCTGGTCCCTCTACTTCGGGATTCTGGAGGTCCCCCCTGTCCGAGCTGCTGGGAGTTCCATGTGTATCTGGGGTCTCTCCTCTACGAGGTCCCTGCCCTCCCTCTCCAGGCTGCTGGAGCTCCCAGGAATCCAAGACTCCCCCATCTCCCAACTTCAGGGTTCTGGGGAACCTCCAAACCAGCAAGATTCAGCACAGAAAAAAACAAACCACCAAGATTTAGGCAAAAACCCCTCAGAAATAGCAAGAAGACCCCCGCCCTCATAATTGCAAAGAGTTGAGATTCAGCTGAAATATAAATTATGAAGATGAGCAAAAAAATCTCTCCCAGGAGTTCTCCCTCTCTGGTCTCCCCCCTCTGGGGTTCAGAGGGTCTCCCCTGCCTCGGAGGTTGGGGATCCAACTTAGGGATACTGGGAGTGTTGGGGGTCCCAAGGGTCCCTTCTCTTCTGACCTTTGGGGTGCCACCTTCCCAGACATTCCCCCTCTCCAGGTTCTCCACCTTGTTGTCCTGGGGATCCCCACTCTCCAGGCTTCCCCTTCTCCGCTCCCCCCGTTTCAGGCTCCCGGGGGTCCCGGGGCTCCTCCCTCTCCGTGCTCCCCCCTCCAGCCTGCCGGGGGTCCCCCAGCTCCGGCATCGCCCGCTCCGCCCTCCACCCTCGGCAGCTCCCAGGGGGACCCCAAAACTGCTGTGTCTGCCCAGCCAGCCCCGGGCTGACAGTGGCCCTGACCCTGTCCCTGCTCCTCCCTGCAGGCTCCGTGGCCGGGCACACTTTGTGTTCCTGGGGGCCACCAGCTCAGCAGCTGCAGCCGCTCCAATCAGCGCCCGCAGCTCTGCAGCAAAGCCCCAGCTCACCTGGCACACAGGGCATGCACACAGCACCTTCTCCCTGCTGGGCACTCCCAGCTCAGCCTCTTCCCCAGCACGGGGCTCTCCTGCCTCAGCACCACCTCTGCCTTCCACTTCTTCTCAGGGACACCTCAGGGCCAGCTCTGGGCTCACCTCCGGGCCATTGCTCAGGGGCACCTGGGTGGGAGAGGAGGGGCAGCACCACGAGCAGGTGAGTCCCGAGACCCCCCTGGTGTCCCCAATGTCCTCAGGGTTTCCCCATGGCCCCAATTCCCCCCTTGACGCCCACCATTCCACTGTCCTCAAACCCCATCCCAAATGTCTCCAACCCTCTATCACCCCCCAGGAGCCCCCTCTGGACCCTCTGACCCCAGACCAACCCCCATTCCCCCTTCACACTCACAGAAAATTCAACGACATGTGGAGAGACACTGGGGACACTTGGGGGGCTTTGAGGGGTTGTGGGTGATTACTGGGGGATACTGGGACACACTGGGGGGAACCAGGGGGCACTGGGAGGGACTGGGGGTTATTGAGGGACTACCGGGACACACGGGGGGACACTGGGAGGTTACTGGTCCATACTGGGGGTTACTGGGTGCTCACTGGAGGATCATTGGGCCATAGTGGGGGGCAGTTGGAAGTCACTGGGAAACACTGAGTGGTCACTGGGGGGTTACTGGGACATACTGAAAGCCACTGGGAGTTCAATGGGCTATACTGGGGGCACTGGGATCCCTTTACCGCATGTGGTTCATCTCCCTCACAAGACTTTGGATGGCACTGCCAGGACCCCTCCCCTGAGGGCTGGGAGACCCCTTGAACCCCTCTGCTGGGCTTTAGGGGACCCCCGGGATCCCCTCCCTGTGGGGTCTGTGTGTGCTAAGTTTTGGGGGTCTCTGGGGTTCGGGGGGGCATCAGGACCCGCTTTCCCTGCGGTCGGTCCGCCCAGCCGGCAGAGGGCGCTGCGGCACGAGCGGCAATGGCGGCGCCGCGCGAGGCCTCATGGGAGTTGTAGTTTCTGTAATGAGAACTCAGCCAGCGCCTGCGCAGTGCAGCCATGGCGTTTAAACCTCTCTCCTGAGGGGGTTCCATGGCCCCAGCCCTTTCAGGGACCCCCTAAACCCCTTCAGGCACCTTCACCCTCCCCTCTGAGCGCCCTCAGGACACCAAATCCCCTCCGCGACCCCCCGACAGCCCCTCACGGAACTCAAAACCTCCTCGGGAACCCCCGAGCCCCTCCTCTCCACTCTGCCGAGCCCTCCAGCCTTCCCGCAGCCCCCGAGCGCATCCCCAGCCCCGCCGCAGCCCCCGCCAGGGCTCACAAAGTCGGAGCAGATCCCGCTGTCGCCGCCATCGCTTTCCCGGCAGCCACCGCGGGGCTGTGCGCGCGCACCGCCGGCAGAGACCCCGCCCCGCCCCCTTTTCCGCGCGGGGCACGCCGGGAGTTGTAGTTGCAGCGGCTCAAAGCTCCAAACTCCCCCAGACTCAATTCCCCACGGGCGTTCCTGGGGCAGAGCGGGGCAGAACCGGGGCGGGGACGGGACGGGCATTGGGTGGAAATCATTATAAAAACTGTAACCCCTGCGTTGGAAGGGATGGGTGTGGGTTTGTATTCCTGGACCCTCATGGAAACCTCTGCTGCTTGTCTGACCTCTACCTAGTTGGGCCTGGAGTCTTTTTTCCTCTGCAGCCTTTTAGGCAGCAACGTTTATGGGGTTTATGAGGACATGGCCTTTATGAGGAGAGCCTCTTATGAGGGGTATGGACTTTCTGAGGACAGCACCTTTATGACCTGTATGGGCTTTATGCAGAGGGATCTTTTATGATGAGAGCTCTGTCATGAGGTGTGTGGGGTGTATGAGGACAGTGCTTTTATGACATTTATGGTGTTTATGAGGACAGAGCCTTTATGAGGTTTATGGCATTTATGAGAACATCTCCTTTATGATGACAGCCCCATGAGAAGATTTATGGACCTTATGACGACGGGGGCTTTATGAAGCCTGCACCATTCTGAGGTGTGTGAGGGTTATGAGGACAGAGCCTTTATGAGGCTGCCCCATTATGGGGTGGATGGGTTCTATGAACACAGAGACCTTCTGAGACTGCCCCATTGTGAGGTGGATGGGGTTTATGAGGAGAGAGACTTTATGAGGAGAGACACTCTAGGATGGCCCCTTTATGAGGTTTATGGGCTTTATGAGGAGAGCACCATTATGACATCTAAGGGTGTTGTGAAGACAGAGCTTTCATGATGAGAGCTCTTTTATGAGGTGTTTGGGCTCTCTGAGGCCTGCACCATTGTGAGGTTTATGGGCTTTATGAGGGCAGTGTCTTTATGAGGCCTGCACTTTTATGAGGTGGGTGGGGTTTATGAGGGCAGAGTTTTTATGGCATTTATTGGGTTTTATGAGGACATGGCCTTTATCATGGGAGCCCCTGATGAGGTTTATGGGCTTCATGAGGACAGCACCATTATGACATGTATGGGCTTTATGCAGACAGAGCTTTTATGATGAAAGACCCATTATGAGGTTGTTGGACATTATGAGGACAGGGGCTTTATGGGGCCTGCACCACTATGAGGTGAAGGAGCTTTATGATGCTGGAGCCTTTAGGAGGTTGTGGCATTACTGAGGTCATCAGCTTTATGATGAGAGCCCCATGGTGAGAGGTATTGGCTTTGTGAGGCCAGTGCTTTGATGAGGCTGCACCATTCTGAGGCGTGTGGGGTGTGTGAGGAAATGGCCTTTATGATGAGAGCCCCATTATGAAGTGGATGGGCTTTATGAGTCCTGTTGCCTTGGAGTTTTGATTTTTTAGGTTTTGTAGATTTTAACAGTAGTTGTACAGGAATTGTAGCTTTTAACGTAGCTGCATTTTATCCTTTACCCTTAACACAGTAGTTCCACAGAGCCAACCCTGTTCCCCAACTCCCATATCAATCCCCCTAAATTCCATTGGCCTGTTTGGTCTCATTTTCAAGGTAGAATTGTAGAGAACACCCTAAAAACTGTGCAAGGGTCCATCCGAGGGGCTGGAAGCCAGCAGGGTCCTGAGGGAGACAGAACACCAGCAGAGCCCTTCCCATGCTGAGGGGGCCTTGTCATCAGGTGTCTGCTGGGGGGTTTTGTTCAATACTTGTTGATTCAAATCCAAAAAAACAAAGGGTAAACAGAGCTTTGTATACTTGAGGTGTCACATTCCCCCCCTTTTTGTTTTAAAAGTATTTGTTTGAAATACAGAGCACGCATTTCTTACACCTGGGATAGGCACAAGTGATAACACCACATTAATGGTTTCTTTCTGTTTTGTTTCCATCACCCCTTTTTTTTCCTTCCTTTTTCTTTCTTTTATCTTTCTCTTTTCTTTCTCTTTTTTCCTTCTTTTTTTCTCGCTTTTGTCATTTTTTCATTTTTATTTTTTTTATTTTTTCTCTTTTTTCTCTTTTTTCCTTTTTTCCCTTTTTTTTTAATCTTTATTCCATTTTGTTGGGTTTTTTTTTCTTTTTTCCTTTTTTAATTTATTTCTCTTTTTCCCATTTTTTCGTTTTTTTTCTTTCTTTTTTCTTTTTTTTATTTCTTTTTTTCTTTTCTCTTTTCCCCTTATTTCTTTCTTTTCCAATTTTTCCCTTTTCTTTCTTTTTTCATTCTTTTCTCTTTTTTCCTGCCCTGTGTTGGCTGTGGCTGTGCCCCCGTGGCAGGCCCAGGGTGGAGCAGAGTCCTGCTGGGGACCTGTGGCCCCTGCAGAGAAACCCCCGCACTGCAGCGACTCGTCCCGGGTAGGACTTGTGAGCCCGGGAAGGGACCCACGGCGGGGCAGCTCCTCTGGGAAGGACTGCACCCCATGGAGGAGGGACCCAAGGGACAGCAGAGCAGCAAGAACTGCTGCCCCAGGGAGGGACTCACGCTGGAGAAGCCCACCAGGGACTGTCTCCCGTGGGAAGGGACCCCACGGAAACAGGGGAAGGACTCAGAGCCATCACCCCCCCTGTAGCCCGGGGGGAAGACTTTGGTCATGCAGGTTGTGCCCCTGCAGACACAGAAGAGCATTGGAGTGCAGAGACCCCTTCACCCCCATGGAGAAGGGACCCCCAGGACAGTGGATTGGGAAGAGCTGCGGTTCAAGAGATGGACTCACTTTAACAGCAGCAAAAGACACATCTGGCTGGGACCTTTTTGCCCTTCCCCGACCTCTGCCCTGCTGGGGGGAGGAGGGAGAACATGCAAGGAAGGAGGGGGGAAGGTGTTTGTTTAGGACTGGTTTATTTCTCACTTTTTAATTTTTATCCTGTTAACAACAAATTTAAGTTCTATCCCCATTTTGAGGCTGGTTTGCTTGTTAGTAAATGAGTCTCTCAGTTCTTATCTCTACTCAGAAATTCTTTAAATGTTTTTTTTTTTTTTTTTCCTCTCCTCTCTGGAGCTGCAGAGAAGGGGGAGGGGGGAGTGAATGGAGCAGCTCTTGGTGGGTATTTGAAATCCAGCCAAGGTCAAACCCCCTCCACCCCCACTATGGTTACAGACAGTGCCAGCACAGCCAGGTCACCCCAGTCATTCCCAGTCGCTCCCAGTTGCCCCAGGAAGGGCAGAGACAAAAAGGGACATTGTCATCAAAGGGCAAAGAACATCTTTGCAGGGCAGGACATCCTCCTCAGCAGACCTGTGGAGACACAAATATCCCAACTCCGCCTCGCCAGTCACGGGTGAGATTCCTCATGGAGACATTTGACAGAGGCAGCAGAGACACAGAGGATGATCCTGCTCAAAGGCAACCCTCCAAAATCCCAAGAATTCCTGAAGGATTACAACAGGCAAGGAAAGCAGCACTGGAGAAAGGAGCAAGTCAAGGCAATGCAATGTGTACTTCAGGAGCCAGGACCTCTCATACAACTGTTCATCCTGAGCCTCTTCTGGCAGTCCAGCCTTCAACTGATGACAAAACAGAGCACGATCCAAAGCCATCCCATTTGAACCCAGTGGCACAAAGGGTTGGTGTTCATCTGCAGGCAACGAACAGAGAAAACGAAAGAAAAACTGGAAAATCTGGGAAAGTGCCAAATTCAGTTACCTGTGACTCCTGGCTTGATGGACAGCAATCCCTTCATTGCTCCTGGTCCAGGGTTTTATCCCATTCACCTCCCACTGGGAGTGGTTAAGCCAATCAAGGCAGAGCAGCTGCAGTCACTCCTCAATCACACACAGGCCGGCCCATCACACCCCCCACACCCAGACCTGGGAGTCTGCACTTACCCCACACTCCCCCCACGAGCTCAGCTCTGTCCCTGCACCCTAAATCAAGGCTTTAGAGAAACAAGACAAGGCCATCCAGACATTTCCCAGGCCTTCCTTTTCTTGGTCTCACCTTTGCCTTGCTACAGTTACCCCCCCATGATCCCAGTCCCTCCCAGGATATCCTGGTTTCGTCCAGCATATACCCAGTCATTCCCAGTTACTCCCAGTTGCTTCCAGATGATCCCAGATTCCCTCTGTTGCTCCCAATAGTCCAAACTGTGATCCCAGTTGCTTCTAATATGATCCCAGTTGCCCCAGTTGTGGTCTCAGTCCCCTCCAGGATGGTTCCAGTATCTTCCAGTTGCTCCCAATGTGCCCCCAGTTGGCTCCAAGGGTGGGCCCAGGCACTCCCAGTAACCCTCAGGAAGGTTCCACTCACACTCCTGTAATGCCAGTCTCTCCAGTATGATCCCAGTGTGATCCCAGCCACCCCCAGTATGCTTCCAGTCACATTCAGTATGATCCCAGTCAGTCCCACTATAATCCCAGTCACTCCCAGTATGATCCCAGTTGCTCCATCCCAGGCCTGTGCTCTGCAACATCTCCATCAGTGACTTGGACACAGCCCTGGAAGGGACACTGAGCAAGCCTGGAGATGACACAAAACTGGGAGGAGCTGCTGAGTCCCCCGAGGGCAGGGAGGCCCTGCAGAGACACCTGGACAGATCAGAGGGTTGGGAATCCCCAACCATGGGAAGTTCAACAGGAGGAAGGGCCGGATTGTGCCCTGGGATGGGGCAACCCCGGCTGGACGGACACACTGGGAATGAGAGGCTGGGAAGCAGTGCCGGGAAAGGGCCCTGGGGGTGCTGGTGGGGGCCAGTTGGCCCTGAGTCAGCAGTGCCCTGGCAGCCAGGAGGGCCAAGCCTGTGCTGGGGGCATCAGGGAGGGGATTGTCCCGCTCTGCTCTGCTCTGCCCTGGGGCGGCCTCACCTGCAAGATTGGGGCAGTTTGGGGGGACACAATGGAAGGGAGAGATTGAGCCATTGGAGAGTGTCCAAAGGAGGGCAATGAAGATGGGGAAGGGCCTGGAGGGAAAGTTGTGTGAGGACACTGAGGGCACTTGGTGTGTTCAGCTGGAGAAGAGGAG